CTTGTACTTGTAGTCTTCAATGTGGTAATCGTGTTGCCCAGAAAGGAGCTACATATCCTATTGAGGTTGGTCTTAGATCTTTATTTATTGTTGGTCATGCTTAAAGACATTCGTAGTGTTTTGCAGGTATTCCGCACATGTGATGGACGAGGTTGGGCTGTAAGAGCATTGAGAAATATCCGTAAAGGAGCATTCATAGGAGAATACACTGGAGAACTGCTCAGCGATGCAGAAACAGCAAGGCCAGAGCGGACTGACACGTATTTCTTTGAGACAAGAGTGGTGAGTGAAACATCGTGTTGTGGGAACATCAGAAAGCTGAAGATGTTGTGTTTTAGGGTGAGAGGCTGTATACGGTAGATGCTCGCCTTTATGGAAATTTCACACGATTTATCAATCATAGTTGTAGACCAAATGCCACGGTATTTTTGAAATTCAAATTTAAGAAAAGAGAAATGAGCTTGAGTTGAAGAGTTGTTTGGTCAGTTGTCTTAGGCCTAAACATGGACATTTGATTGGCTATTTACTGGAGGGTCCAATCAGTATGTTTAGAGTAATTCACATAATGAGATTATGGAGTTCCGTATGTGTTTTAAAATCAAAATTGTGCATAGACAGAATATTTTTGCCTTCCTTCGTTACCTTTATATTTTAGGTAGGTATGGTCGTTTGGGAGGCGCAGCTAGAACAACTCAACCATATTTGTATATTTGCCACAGAAAATATTCCGAGAGGAAAAGAAATTACCATATCCTATGGGCAATCATGGTGGGATGCCAAGGTTTCTTCCGATAAGCTTTACATATTTCTTGTCTAAATTGACCCATGAGAAGGTGTTGGAGCCACATTCCTTCCCTATCACCATTTTCTCACTGGGCTTCACTTTCTATTTTCAGCTGCCTCAATTTTCATGTCGATGTGGCCATGCTAACTGTGAATATTCTGAGGATCGTAGGAAGACTGAACTGCAACGATTAGCAGCTGAGATGACGGCCGACCTGCAAGCCAGATCTGCTTCAGCAGTGTCGATTTCCAGTAGCGATGATAGCGATGAGAAACGTTCTGTTTGATAGATTTCTAAGAATTTGATCCAGTCAATATTCATATTTTTCATATCGTCCCTTCTCCTTGTGAGGTTACTGCCTCTTCATTTCCTATGTTGAGATCTCTTTTTACCGTACGATCGTCTTGCATTAGCAAATTCTAGCCACCAGCTACGCACTCAAGGTACAAAATGTTTCGGTGTTATAGGAAGAAAAGTCTGATTGAGGAACTCGGCGGAATTTTGCTTCTCTACTTTGGTTATTAAAAAAGCTCTCAATTTTCCCTAAAAACTATGCAGTTGGACTTATGTAGGTTAAAATTTGAGAGCTTTACTAGTAGTTTTATGAGGAGTCCAAAGTCTAGAATAATTTCATTTCATGACGACGCTCCATTTTCCCATACCAGTTTGGTCATTCCAATTTTTTCTTGCACTGAAGTTTATGTTAACTATGGCGACTTATTAAGCAATCCAATCATTCCATTAAATTTATTTTCGTACGCTTTTCATGTCTCTCTCTTATTTTGTATGATTTTTTTAGGTTTTTTGAGCATCTTTTATGGCATCCATAAGTTATATGTGGCTCAATAGTGTTATATAGCTCATTATCTTCTATCTAGGATGACCTCGTAGACAAGCTTTACATCGCAATACTTGGTTGTTTTATGGAGATTTCGTATGTTTGGTAATCCACGGGTAATAAAGAAATTATGTGTGAACTGAAATGTAACTTCTCTGTTCTTGATTAGGCAATATTGATATTGGTTTGGATTCTAAACTTTAAATAAAACTAACTTTGTAAAAAAATCTAGTTTTGAACTTTGTAGTTTTCATCGGCTTTTTGAAGTTGAACGTGAGACAGGTTTGCCGATTTAAACAAGACATCAAATTATCTACTCAACTTGCAACTGTGCTCATTCAGAGGTAAGCGTGATATAATAATTAAATTGAGTAAACACGTATTTTGCATCTGAAGCCTACTCCAAAGTTTCATGAATAATTCCTTCTATTGTTAATTATAGTAGTCATTCGTTAAAGAAACCATTCTATCTTGTTTCTAAGTTTGCAGTTGATTAAGTTGCAGTAGCGGCTAAATTTGCTAAGCGAGCAATACGCTCTTTTTCTCATAACCTTCATTTGGTTTTTCTAAGAATTTTTAGGAGTTTTTCTTCTTTTCGGGATATTTTCTTTGGCATGTCTTTCCTTAAGAGGTGAGAGCTAATCCAATAGTGGAGTACGATTAAAAAACGAATGACAATCATTGGCTGAATGCCATTGTTTTAATGGCTATGACCCGAGTCAGAATTGCTTCGAATAAGTTTTGATAGAGTGAATAATTTCGTGAGCTTCCATAATAGTAGGTGTCCG